GGTTTTTTAAAGCCCCCAAATCTTCCTAAGATGTTAAATACCATCCCTGCCATAAATGGGGTAATATTTCTTAATAACCTTTACCTTCAGAATGAGAAATTGCAGTGTAATATCCTCCAACAGGGAAAGTAAAAATGATCAGTTTAATATTTGCTGAAGTATTTTCAATATTTAAACCTCTTGAAGTCAGAATTACCTCCCTACACAAGTCTAGGTGAATAGAATTGGTACCTCTGAAACTGTGTCATGTGTCACTATTATCTGTTCTGTTTTTAAATACATATGTCCATTGGGGATAGAGTTGTCAGTGAAAATAGAGGATGCCAGAGGGTAGAAAAACTTTTTAGAATGAGATAGCAATCACATTTTGAGCCATGATATCTTCTTCTTAATACTGTTTGCTTTGGTGATGGGGGAATAATCGGGAAAAAGAAGTTTCATTCAAGTTAAGCAACAAGAAACTCCAGGAGATATGTATTTGAATTATCCTGTTCTTGACCTTTTTCATCAAGAATGCTTCTGCATGTCACCAGTAACCAAGATGTCCAGTGTTTCTTCCCTCCAATGTACCTATACTCTCAGGTTACAATCCTTTTATGTCTGTGATATCCTTGGTTGGATAGAAAGCCTTTCTGTGCCTATGGCTTCTGTTGATAGTTTTCCATGAAGATTTAAAAATGAATATTAAAATAATGACATGCTGAATTGTAGACTTTGAAAGGGTGAATTATGTCAATAATATGGTTATTTTTTAAGGGAAAAAAAGACAGATAATAAATAACACACAGTATTTTTTTCAATTATAAAGAAAGGGTCATATCACATAAGTTTCTTGAAATTTTTATTTCTTTAATGAACCATAAACAGAAGAAATCACTCCAAATTAATTCACACAATCTAGTACATTCTCTTTAATGATATCAAATACATTTTACAGATGCAATGACATGTAAGCTCAAAAATTCCTTTTTTTGATAAGCGCTTTATATCTATTTTTTTGCTAAACTTACTATTTAAACACTTTGTAAATATATCCTTTTACGTATCAGTGCTATTATTTCTATAGATAATTCATAGGAGTGAAATTTGTGTGCCTAATGGCACATATATTTCCAATTTCATAGATATTGCCAGATTACTTTTCAAATAGCACTCTAACAATACACATTTTCGCAAGCAATATATTTGAATTTTTCCTGTACTCCTGAAAAAAAGATATTATGACTCTTTATTTTTGTTATCCTAATAGATGTATATTATATATTGCTTTCATAGAATTGAATTTTTTTTTTTTTGAGTTGGAGTCTCACTCTGTCACCCAGACTGGAGTGCAGTGGCCGCTCCCGGCCACCGCAGCCTCGACCTGCCGGGCTCCGGCGATCCTTCCGCCTCAGCCTTCCAAGTAGCTGGAACTACAGGCGCGCGCTACCACACCAAGCTCATTTTGATTTATTGTAGAGATGAGGTCTCACCAAGTTGCCCAGGCGGGTCTCGAACCCGTGGGCTCAGGCAATCCACTCACCTCAGCCTCCCAAGGCGCAGGATTACAGGTTGAGCCACCGAGCCCGGTTGAATATTTTTTATATTATATTCAATTGACTTTTTATATCTATTATCCCAACATCCATTGGACTGCTTTCCTTTTTGCTGTTAATTTATAAGAGTTATTCATATAATGGAGATATTAACCTTTTTTTCTGTCAGATATGCTGCAAATATTTTTCCCAATGTGGTTTTTTTCCTCAATTTTTTTTCTAATTTTAAATATTTAAATATATCTATGCTTTGTGTGTGGGGGCGGAGGGGTGGAATCCCAGAATTGGTAAATCTTCCCTGCCTCTAGGATACATGTAACATTTTTGAAAGATTTTTATTGTTTTAATTTTTACATGTAGATCTTCTATCCATCTGAAATTTATTTTTACATCTGGTGTGAATTAAAGGTGCAACTTAATTTTCTTCCAGATGGGCAACCAGTTATTCAAGTTCCAGTTATGAAAGAACCACCTTTTCCCACTGTTTGAAATATCACCTTAGTCATATATTAAACTCCAGTTTATACCAGGGGTTTTTTCTCTCCACTCTCTTTATTCCATTAACTTATTCGTCTATTCCTATGCCCAGGATAGTCTTTTGTTTGCCATAGCTTTATAGAATGCTTTCATTTCTGATAGGTAAGTCTTTCCTTCAATATTCTCAATGACCAGGGAGAAATACAAGAAAAATTACCCACCAAGTTTACTTTTTTGCTCGTAAAGGGCATGATAAAGACGTGTCAGAGATGTTATTCATAGTGAGTATGGAAAGACAAGGAGAGGGCTGGGGGAGGGAATGCTACAGGATAAAAGTTATTCATGAAAAATATAAGTAAAATTTCACCCACCTCTTTTATTTTCTTCTCCTCCATAGTGGATAATGGTGTGGATGTTAGCAGTAGGATACATGATCACCATCATGACCATTTCCCAATGAACGCCATGATATGACCACCCAACTGCTGTGGCCGGCCCATGGGAAAGTGGTTGAATTCTCTACCACACTCTCCATGAAGTCAGTTTGATTGCTGAATTCAGAGAGAAAAGATGTTGGTAAACTCTGGTCTTCTAAAAGGAGAACCATTTTTTCCTCCAAAGTGATCAGCCACACTAAATTATTAACAGCAGAGCTGAACATCATTTTGGAAGTTAACTATCCTGATTGACCCAACTCATTATCGAGCTCTTTATGAAAGTAGCTAAGTGCACAAAGAGAAAATTGTTTCAGGGAAAATCTTGGATGTTTCCCTTGGGTGAAAGGATCCTTTCTGCTTCAGGAGACTTTATTTACACCAGCTTTCCCAAGGGTCTCTCCATCTGCTCATTCTTTCTCACGGCTTCAGTTAGCATGCTAAGTTCAGAGTACACATTTACATAATTGGCTATTTCTGATTGGAATGGATGTATTTTAACCCACTTTGGTAAACATGCAGTAAAAAACCTGCATTTTTGGAAGCCTCGTTGTTTACTTTTATCTTTCAAATCCTCTTTTAAAAAAATAAACTTCCTGATACTTCCTCGGTCTTTATGATTTTTTTCTTATTTAGTTAACTTGATTATATTCTCTATGAAATGATTATGGGCTTTCTTTTTATTCTATTGCCAAAGAGAATGTATAATTAGAAGCTTCATTTAATGTATAGATTCTGTGTTCAAGGAATGGCATGGGAAAATTTAATGAAGTCATTTTAGTGAAGCAATTAGCAGTCATTTTGTATGTAAAGCTTAATTGGGAAAATTGGGGATGACTTGTAGAAATAAGGTGACGTAGAAACCTAAATGCTCACTTTGTCTTTTTCTGTTAGAATCACCTATTTGGTATAGGATATTTATATATCTCTTACTAGGGTAATTTGTGTGAAGTTATCCTGAAACAAAAGTAGATATCATAAACTATATGTCTTTGTAAATTTTTGTTGAATATTTAAATTAGAATAATCAGAAATATGTACATGTTATAGAGCTCTGGATTGTTAACATGGAAAAAAAAAGTCAAGAGTGATATGGGGAATAAAGGTTTCAAGTAAAATGTGGTTAGTTTTTAAGTAGCGTGGCCACTGCCTTCTGAAACTACATCAAAAGATGTATTTCAAGCCCCCTTGGCCAGCTCTTCTGAGGAAATTTCACACAAAAGCCTCTTAATTGGTTGTCAGTAACACCTAGATCTTTTCCCTTTCACAAGATGTGAGAGAAAAAATGAGAGGCATAAACTAAACAATATGATATTGTTGGGAATTATCTTATAGATGCAAGCTTTGATTCCACATCTGTAGACTTGTTACCAAAGTTAAAGAGTCCCCGCCCCTTCCTCTCATCATGACCCTAAAGCTGGTCTCAATTCAAGATAAAAAGAAAGTTCTAAATTTTAAGACTATTTTAATATCAAAGGGAGATAATGAAAATGACATTTTCATCAAGATTATAAGATTTTTCAAAAAATTAAACACTTACAAAGTCAACCGTCAAACTGTAACTTAGAAACTCACTTATTTAGCCAAGAAGGTTAATAATTAAACATTCTATTAAGTTTAACATGCTTGCATTTTAGTTCAAAAATAATATTATAAATTAAAAGAGAAAAACATATTTCTAAAAAAAATCTAAAAAACAAAATAAAAACCAATATTTTGAATTTGTTTAAAACATTTTGGAGTTGAATAAGACACAGCAAGAGAAAGGAATGTATGATAATGCATTTCTGAAATTCTTATCCAGTGTTTTTCTTTCCTTAAATGTTTCCTATTTTATCTCCTATCTTTCAATTTGATAGGTAGTTGTATCTCATTGTTTCCTGGATGCCTTCTTGGTTTAAAATTCCCAAGATCCATGTTCTAAGGAAAAAAGGTGGCATGGGCTTGGGGCGAATGGAGCTTTCTTTGGAAAACAGAAAATCTTTCCTTGGGCTAAGGAGAAGAGAGACTCTTCATTCTGGAAGAGGGTCCACACTGTTTCATGGCATACCCTCAGAGGTAATGAAACACAAATGGATTGGGGAGACACTAGAAGAGTGCTTGAAATCCATTTTGGCTGTATTCCAATAACCCCCTGGAAGACTACTTCTGCACAGAAACCCCAGAATGGCCCCCTTACCCTGAGGTAGAGAATCTTCCGAAGTAGTAGAAGATCCGATCTTAAAAAGGTCAAACAAACAGCAAAGGGGATTGTATACAGTTCTGCAGGGATCAGACTGAGTACCCGAAAGGATCATGAATGGTTCTGTGACTATCCGTGTAGACATGAGACACAAAGAACCGGAAGAATGCTGCACATTCTACCCTGCCTTCATAGGGCCAATTGTTTAGAACTTAGACTCAGTGCTAAACAGAAATTAAACCGTTGTCATCTGGCACCATGAAAATTTAAAATGGAAATTTAGTTTAGTTATAGAAAGAAAGTTATAATGTCTCACTTACGTAAGAGTGTGGATTGAGATTTATACTCATTACATTTGAAAAAAAAGAGCGGGAAGATGGAGATGAGTATCGCATATCAGAGGACTCCTACCACTTTATTACCTTTAAGCTGAAGCCAGAGAAGGGAGGCCCCTTTGTCTAACAAGAGATTATTCTGATGGTTGTTTTAAAGCAGTCTGCATCAGAAGGATAGCAAGAATTTTAAGACGTTCCTTAGGGCTTCATGTCTTCATGTTCTGCGGTGAGAGACTCTGCTTGGGGAAGCCTGCATTCAGTGAGACATTAACATTTTTTCTTCTCTTTTATTTTCTTGTTCTTCTGTTTTAACAATCAAAAACTAAATATTTTAAGATATATCTTTGCTATTTATAGGCTATATAGTAATTTTAAACGTCTAGTTTACTTGTGTCTCTAAGTTCCAATTTTTAAATCCCTTGATATGTTCTATTTGCATTACCGTAAAGCCTTATTGACATTTAAATTTTCCCCTTTTTTTCCTCTTTTAAATTTATTTTTACTTTATTTAGTATTAGTAACTTCTGCTGTCATCCTTTCCTTTATTGTGGTATTGTGATGTGAATATGTGAATGATTATCCTTTATCTTAGCTTTATTTTTGACCCTTATTTTATTTTCCCTCTAAAATGTTTTAACCTGCTAGTTACTTATACCTTTTCATAGTCTTAAGAGTTAGTCCTCTTCTTCTTTGATCTTCACTATTTTGCTTTATATTTTCTTCCTCTCTCTTAAAGAAAATATGACTCGTTTTCTAAACAGCAATACAAGCAGCAAGGTTCAGAGCATGACAGGAGTGAAGAGAACCCACCCATAAACTGAACAGAGAAGTTTGGAAAGTTAAAGTTGAATGGAGGTGATATCTTGCCAAGTAGGTGTTTGCTGATATGAACATAACATTTTTGCAAGTTAAAACTATTGTAGCCTTGGCTTGTGATTTCTAATTTTGAAAGTAAACAGTTTTTCGTCCGTCAGGAACTGGAGCAGATCCTCCAATTGGTTTTTGAAGAAAATCTTGGACCTGCTCATGGGCTGATTATTGACTTACTCTTATTCTGCAACAGGAAATACTATGTGCTTATTGAGTTTTTCAACTCGCAGAGTAGTAGTGCTAGGTTGAGAATGAACATATATAGATCTTTCATGCACAAAATCTTCTTTGATGAGCAGTTTGAAAATGTATGCCAAAATTTGAAATATGCATAGAGCAATTCCACATGGAAGAATCAAGAAGAAATTCTATAAAAATAGTCACAAAATGCTCAAGTACATTATTAATAGGGCACTGAATTGTCTTCCTTGAGTATATATGATGCATATGTTTTTCAAAACAAAGAGCTAGTCCTCTGGTTCCAGCAACATAAAAGATCACGTCTCTGAGGCATCCTGCTCACTGCAAACAGAGAAACTTTAAGATAGAATTCATATTTTTAAAAGATTAAAAAATCTTTGAAAAAAATTTCTAAGAACTAATAACATGGAAAAAAATTTAAAGCTAGAATGGTAAGTCTATGAGTTGATGACACAGTGACCTTGGTAGAATTTTAGTATAAGATACAGGACCAAACATTTAGAAATGACAATTAAGAAACATATGTAGACGCAAGAGTTGTATCCTTGGAACCTATTTCTATGGAGATCACTGGATAGATTCATTTTTTAAAAAAGAGAAAAAGGAATGTAATAGTGATTCAGTAACGATTTCTGGAAAAGGGATAGTATAAAATCTTAAAATTTCAAGTGATGATTGTAATTGTAGATAAGTTTTCTATTTTTAGGTTAGAAAATTTTGTTTATTTAAAAGTAAATGAGAGAGACAGAGAGAGAAGATTCACCTCTCCAAGATGGAGGAGGTGGCCAAAACCAGGAAGCATGGTGACAGCCATAGGTCAAATAGCACCTGACCATACCAGAGTCTAGCAAGCCAATGGCACTAGATAAGCCTTTTTTTTTTGAGTTGGAGTCTCACTCTGTCACCCAGACTGGAGTGCAGTGGCTGCTCCTGGCCACCGCAGACTCGACCTGCTGGGCTCTGGCCATCCTTCTGCTTCAGCCTTCCAAGTAGTCGGAATTACAGGCATGCGCTACCATGCCCGGCTGATTTTTTGATTTATTGTAGAGATGAGGTCTTGCGGCCCAGGCGGGTCTCGAACCCACGGGCTCAGGCAATCCACTCACCTCAGCCTCCCAAAGGTGCGGGATTACAGGCTAAGCCACTGAGCCCGGCTTAGATAAGCCTTTTAAAGTTCGCTTTAAAAAGTTAGAAAAGGATTTTGGGAAAATGTGGAAGTGATACAATTTTTGAGTTTTCCTCTCCCTTTTTAAAAACAAAATTAATCTATCCAGAGGCCTCTATAGAAATAGTTTCCAAGGACACAACTCCTGTGTCTACATGTGTTTTTTTAATTGTTATTCCAAAATATTTGGTACCATATCTGGGATTAATATCCTACCAAGGTCACTATGTTATCACTTCATAGACTTATCATTCTGGCTTTCATTTTTTTCTATGTTATTAGCTCCTAGAGTTTTTTTTTTTTTTCCCAGCTGACTAACAACTAGGATAGTTACTCTGGAGAAGAAAGAAAAGACAATATCTACAGTAATAGGAAATAAAGTATTACAAGACCCATAAATTAGAGAAGATAAGACTGAATCGTGACATTACAAAATCTTAATGAGCAAGCAGAAGGAAGAAAAAAACAAAAGTACTTCAAAATAGTCACCAAGTACTTACTGGAGGGTAATATCGTCCAACTTAAGAACAGCTAAAATTGAGAAATGTTTCTATGTATACCAATTTAAAGATGGGTATAAGGGATATGATAAGGTCTAATAGGGTCAGAACAGTCTCATGAACTTTCAAAATGAAACACAACTTAATGCGAAACCAACAAGAATATAATACAAATTAGAACAGTAAGAGTGGAAGCAAAAAGTAAAAGCTTACATAAAGGTGAGGGGGGGGGAAATCAGAAGATTGTCAGAAAAATAAGGGGCTATAGTTGTTAACATTTCTCTAAAACCACAAGGCAGAGTTCTAGATTAGCATTGCTGTACCAAAGACTGTTTCCATCTACCCTATAATTAAAGAAAAACCCCAACTAAGTTGATTCCATGTAAAGTTATTATAAGAGAGAGAAAACAAGACCATACTATTGTCTTTATAGACTATAATGAAGCCAGAAAGACATGCCCATAAAACAAGTAAACATATAACCTGAAAGCTTAACAGTTTTAAATGAGCTGAAAATTAAGAAAACGATAGGTGGCATGAAAAAACATAAGAATAAAACAACTTAGGCGTGCGATGGTAGAAGTCAGGAAAGAATTAGTAAGAAATAAAGACTAATTTGAACAAAAAAATAATAAACACAACAAATGACATCTGAAAATAAATAAAAAGATAAAAAAGAAAAATGTAGGAAGAGTTTTTTTTCAAAGTGAAAGATACAGAAGATAGGCAAAACAGGCACAACATGCATATAATAGGAATTCCTGAATAAGAAAACCAAAACAATAGGAACAAAATACTAAACTGTAATTTAAGAAAATATTTTTGAAATTAAAGCAAGTCATAAATATGTACTGAAAGAGCTCACTATTTATATGAAAACTTGACATAGAAATATGCTATTTAAAAAACGTAGAGAGCAAGTCATATTGCAGTTAAAGTACTGGGCTTTCAATAAGAACAAAAATAAATTGAAAATTAGGCAAAAAGACCAAACATTTATCAAGAAAAGAAGGATGACATCAAGCTTTTTTTATGGTAATGCTATATCCCAGAAGACTGGAATAACATATTGGAAATACTTAAAAAAAGAAAATGTGAGTCAAAGTCTTTATATCTGGTCAAAATGACTTTCTGGTTAAAAATTGCACAGAGAGCCAGGCTCGGTGGCTCAGCCTGTAATCCTGCACCTTTGGGAGGCTGAGGTGAGTGGATTGCCTGAGCCCACGGGTTCGAGACCCACCTGGGCAGCGAGACTTTGTCTCTACAATAAATCAAAAAATCAGCCGGGCATGGTAGCGCATGCCTGTAATTCTAGCTACTTGGAAGGCTAAGGCGGAAGGATCGCCGGAGCCTAGCAGGTCGAGGCTGCAGTGGCCGGGATCGTGCTTCCATGAGAATCTAATGCCTCACTGATCTGACAGAAGACAGAGCTCTACTCACCCACAGCTCACTTCTGGCTGTGCTGCCCAGTTGCTAACAGGCCATGGATCGATACCAGATCATGGCCCAGGGGTTGGGGACTCTGTTATAGTAAATAACAAAATAATATGAAGTGAAGCCAAACTATTGATCATAACAAAAAATAAGATGAAGTTAGTTGAACCATTTTTCTGATTGGTAAACAAAGCAATATCCAACCCTTATATTTTTATATGAAGTACACCCAAAGCAAAGAGATTAGAATTGTTGAAAATAAATTAATTGTCAAAGATATATCAAAAACTTCAAATTGAAAAGAAAACAGCTGCCAAAATGTTGAAATCTGATTAGACAGAATTCAAACTGAAAATTAAGAAAAGAGATAGATACTTTATAAAGGTAAATGCTAAAACTCCTAATGAAAACGTCACAGTTATTGATATTTAAAACATAGAAGCATTTTTCATACCATAGAAGATTAAAGGAAAAATGAACAGAAGTTCAATAATACTAGAACATTTTCTAATTTTTAAAATGCAAAAGAAATTAATTAGACTAAAAATTAGTGATGATGCAGAATGTGGTCAGCAAATGTTTTCTATAAAAGACCTGATAGTAAATATTTCAGATTTTGTAGGCTATATAATCCCTGTCGTATCTACTCAACTCTGATATCATGGTGTAAAAGCAACCAGAGGCAATGTACAAATAAATAGGTATGGCCATTTAAAAAAAAATTTATTTATAAAAACTGGTGTCTGGCCCACAGACCGTAATTTGCTGTCTCCTGATATAGAAAACCTAAAGAATGTTGTCAAACAGATTTCATATATGTGTGTGTAATTATGTATCTAAGAATACATATGAATGTGTCTTCAATATAATAAAATTGATTATATACAGCTACATGATCAAATATATATAAACTTTTATTTACTGTGTCTGAAACATGTAAGCCATACAAATTCATAAATTCCAAAGTTTAGATATCATGCAGAGCCATTTCTCACCGTATTGCAATAAAAATAGAAATTAATAATTAAAAAAACTCACAAACATTCTAATACCTAGACATTTATGGCATTAAAGCCTACATCTGTAAGGCTAAAAAATGAAAAATAATTTTAAAGCCTTATTTAAACAGATATTAAGACCCAAAATAAAAGAAAAGAATTAAAAAAATAAAAACATAAATTGACAAGTTAGAAAACAGAAATACTATAAACATAAAAACCATAATTTTTTTGTAGTATTTTATTTTATTTTATTATAGGTTCAGGTAGTACTTCTGCATATTTTTAAAATGAATATACCGCATAATGGTGTGATTGGTCTTCATGTGTACCCATTACCCACACAGTGAGCTTTGCACCCAATAGGTAATTTTTCAACCCTCAGTCTCCTTCTGCCCTCCCCATTTTGGAGTTTCTAGTGTTTATTATTTCCGTCTCTATGTCCATGTGTACCCATTGTTTAGCTTTCACTTATAAGTGAGAAAATGCAGCATTTGGTTTTCTGTTTCTGGGTTATTGCACTTAAGATAATGGCCTCTGGCTCCATCCATGGGACTGCAAAATACATGATTTTGGTTTTTATGGCTGCATAGTATTCCATGGTGTATAAATACCACATTTTCTTTATCCATTCTTTCATTGATGGACATTTAGGTTGATTCCATGACTTTGCTATTGTGAATAGTACTGTGATAAGCATAT